CTTGTATTTCATCTTACTTCTTTAGGAGAACGTATTGACAAATGGGTCTTCTTTTCTCATTATAAATTGGCATTTCTGATGAGCAAGGACCTAATCCCCAGATTTCTAGACTCTGCAAGTGCAGGTTTCAATATCAGACACCCACACAGGTCAGAAGGGCACATGCCCTTATCCATTTGGAGCCAAATTCATTTTGTTGAACAGTTTGAAGGTTTGGACTCAACCTCTGAGTGAACTGCCCAGCAACTGATTGATCTACAATCATGGTTTAAATTAATTGGCTTTGCTCACATCTGCATCCTGACCAAGTATTTGTGAAGGAGTAGCTGCTGTTTACCAGTAACAGCCCCAGCTCATCATTCATCACCTTTTATATGGGTTTGAGGAGGACGAGGAATTTGGACCTCCTTGAAATAGCTGCCACCCTCTTCCCATGGCAACTTAAGCAAAGTAGCCTTTTCTTAGAAGAGACTGTGCCAGACTGGTGAGTCTTGTGTTATAAAATATTATATGTTGCATATAATACAGACAGATAAGTTGATTAGGAGAAATGTTGTGTCTTGACAGCAACACTGAACTGAAGATCTCCATCTCTGCAGAAAATGCATAGAACCTTCTTTAAGATGCAGTGAACAGCTAGATGAATACACTGAATTATTTTTCCTCTAATACAGCTGATGGGATGAAAAGAAAATAAGTTTGTTTCCTTGATCAAGACTGGGGAGTTAGGATGAGAAGCTTGAATTCCAAGGGTCCTTTTACCATGGAGAAAGTGGTACATTGCAAAGGTATGTTTGTGGACAAGAGAGTACATTCATTCAGCTGTCCTTCATTTAAAAAAGTCAAGCAGAACATTTATAGAAGATGAAATAGTTTCTATAAAGACCTAGCTTACAATTTAAATGTGAGGTGGACCAAGATGGTGTTTGTGATAAGTGTTTTCTTCTGGAATGCTTAGATGGTACATTTGGACAAATGAAGCAGGATTAGTTGTGTAGCTATGTGTTTGTCACGTTGTCCTGGGCAGGGCATAAGGAACTCCAAAGTACAAAATGTCAGTGGATTCGATTTGTGCTGCCAAACAAGAGTCACCGCTAAATATTCTCCACACCTGCATGGAATTAATTCCCATTCCCTATGTGTGATGGGAGAGAAATCAAACACTTAATCTATATCATATGTCTCGGAAAAGTTCCAGACAGACACCAGCCTGGAGTGAGAAATGTGGAGTTTTCAGTGATTGATGTTTAAAGGGTAACATTTCCTTAGTTTCATAAAACAGAATGAAGGACTTTTTCGGGCCTGCTTTAAAGGAAATCTTGGAAGAGTCCCTGCTGGTGGAGAAAAAAACACCAGCAGTAGGAATACCTTCCTCTGATAACATGGTCTGTTGGCCCCAGTTTGACATGGTACACAGGTGAGTTGCTTAAAAGAAATAAAAAGCTTCAGGATGAGGGGTACATGGGAAAGGAGCTTCCCTGCTCTTTGGCTACCTGAAGTGCACACACAAAATATTGATGGATGAGAAAAGTTTAGGGCGTGCTCACCACCTTCCATGACTGCAACTCTAAAACAAATTAGAAAAACAAATGTAAAAGAACTGTCAATAAACAGAAGAAATTATATGTGGACTTTCACTAATAATGAAATGGGAGTAGACTTTGCAAGCATGAAAGGAATGGGAAAATTCACAAAATAAAAATTCAATATTTAAAACCAGAATTATTCTTATGCCAAAAAATCATAACTAAAGTTATAATACATTACTAAAATATTTTTAAAAGAAACTCTTATAAACCAAGAAGAAAAACTCTGCCTCTCAAACAGAAATAAATAGGGGAAGGATAGGAAAAGACAATTCACAGAACAAATACAGTGAACAGCAGTGGTATGCTTGAGCTGGCTGGTACTGGCTCATAACTGCCAATTCCCTACTCCTCATTCAGTAATGTCACATTCGTAGCTTGAAACTGGCCATGGTGGGAGGTTTTATACCAGAGAAATCAGCTATAAATCAGGATTTTTTAATAAAAGACCAGTTTGCCAGCATACCATTAGGATACCATGGTATGCTACAATGGTAGCATTACTACCAGTAGTTCAATTGTACCAGTAATCAAAAAAATACAAGAAGAAATGAGGTCTGGACAAGGTGGAATAAGCACATTTCACCCTATTTCTCCTGCTAAGTGCAACAAAAATGTCTGGACATAAAGTATGCTGGTTAGGGAATCTCAGAACTCAAGGAATTACCCAATGGTGTGTTTGTGTGTGTGTGTTCTTTTATATATCTTGGCCTGGGCTCAGGATAGGCCCACAACTGGAAAAGCCTGCTATCTTGAGACAAAAGACTGGAGAAAGAGCAGTCCAGAAATACAGAACTATTTTGACCATACCTGACCTTATTCCAGCTCAACACTTGAAAAAAGCTATGCCTCCCTCCCACTTCTCATCAGGCATCATGTCCTAGAGACTGGCAGATCTGTACTTTCCATCACTTCTTGCAATAACATGCCACATCCCTTCCCTGGAGCAGAGACTATGGGTAGAACTTTTAGGGGATTTCTCATCACCATGGAATCCAGAAGGAAGCGGAACAACATTTTTTAAGTACTGAATGGAGAAAACAGTCAACACAGAATTCTATATCCAGCCAAACTATCCTCCAGGAATAAATACATTCACAGATAAAGGGAAATGAAGAGAATTTGTCACCTACAGATTTGCTTTTAAAAAATGGCTAAAGAAAGTTTTTCAGACAGAAAATAAGTTGAAACATTAGGAGTTAAGAAAGAACAGAAAAAGTAAATATATGAGTAAATATAGCAGACTCTTAACTTTTAAAGATTATGTTTGGCTGAAAGCAAAATTACAACATCTGAAGTGACTCTCAGTACACATAAAGGTAATATTTAAGACATCTGTGCTATAAAAGGAGGAGGAAAAGAGACCTAAAAGGTGATAGTTTCCGTATTCTACTTGAAGTGATGAAATATTGACACTAATAAACTGTGATAAAGTAAGTACATATACTGTAATCTTTAGAGCAGTGGTTTTCAATCAAGGGAGGTTTTGCCTTTCAGAGGACATTTTGGCAATGTTTGGAGACATGATTACACATGTTACTTCCATCTAGTTGATAGAGGCCATGGATGCTGCTAAACATTCTACAATGCACAGGAAAACCCCACATAACAAAGAGCATTCAGTACAATATGTCAAAACGCTGAGGAGGAGAAACTACCCTAGTGTAATCATACAAAAAAATACAAAGATATATACTCAAATGCAGATAAATCAATATGTAATACTAATAAGTGTTCAACTAAACTACAGGAACACAGAAAAAGCACAATGAAACAAAAACCAAAGAGAACAAACAGAATATTAACATGGTAGACTTAAATCCAAACATATCAACAATTGCATTAAATATTAATGTTCCAAACACACCTATTAAAAGATAGTGACTGGCTAAATGGATGAAAAAATGTAATCTAACTATATGCTGTCTACAAGAACCTCTTTTCAAATGTAATTCCATAGGTATGTTAAAAGTAAAAGGATGGAAAAATTCATACTCTGCTTTTTATGCTGTTTTTGGAAGTAACCATTTCTGTTTGCTGCAATCATGAATGATGTTTCCTATTGTGAAATACCATTCATGATTGCAAAAAGACAACACTAATACTAATCAGAATAAAACTGGAGTGGATATACTAATATCAGATGAAGTAGATTTTAGAACAAAGATTACCAGAGCTAAACAGAGACATGACATAATGATAAAAGGGTCACTTTATGAAGATGACACAACAATTCTAATTGTGTGTATCACAAACAACAGAGCTTCAAAATACATGAAGCAAAAACTGATGAATTCAAAGGAGACACAATTATAGTTGGCAAGTTCAACATCTCCTCTCAGTAACTGATAGAACTACTAGACAGCAAAAAAAATAAGGTATTTTGTTTTATTTATCAAACTGGTAAAAGTTAAAATTTAGTGTTAGCAAAGTCATGGTGAGAAAAACAATAATGTGGGAAATGCAAACATATGTAAGAGTTCTGAAAAAATATTTTTATATTATGAGGCTTTCAACCCAATATTTTACTTTTAAGAATCTCTCCTAGGGGAATAAAGAGGTCCAAGGTTTACCTGTCTAGAGCTTTATAACAGAGCTGTTTATAACAGCAAAAGTTAGAGACATCAAAACATGCCCAATAACTGGCAAGTACTTAAACATTTATATTCAAGCATAGTGTTATTGTTAAATAACATTTTTAAGGATTTTTAATGCCATTGTAAATGGGACTGATTTTTAAGGCAAAACAAAGCAGTATATAAAACTTTGTACAAATAAATTATGTTAAAATACACAATTATAAACAAAAATTAGCAGTGAAAAATTACCAGTGATTATCTCCTGTTTATTTGCTTGTTTTCTCCTCCCTTCAAGTTTTCTATTGTGAAATATCATTCGTTACTGCAGCAAACAAATAGTCACTTCCAAAAATAGCATACAAATGAGATCATATACATAAAGCAAACAATATAGTGCTAAGTTTGATACAGTGACACTCAATAGGTGGTATAATTCTTGTAAATTTGAAATGAAATGATGACAAAGTATAACTGATGGTTCTTAGGGTGACCATCTGTCTTAGATTGTCTGTCTCTATTTTACTGTCCGGGCCTAATTATTACTAGTCCCCCTGCAATTCTCAAAAGTGTCATAGTTTAGTTGCATGGGTGGTCTAACTATTCAAATACTTAACACATTACAACTAGTAATTAAAATATATGACACCCTTATTATACTCCAGGCACCAAACTAACTGCTTTATGTGGATTATCTCATTTAACCATCTGAGTAGCTGAATTATCTCCATATTATAGAGGCACCAAGAAGTTAAGCAGCTTGTCTAAGCTCACACATTAACAAGTAGCAGAATCTGGATTTGAACTACATCCTATCATGTTAGTACTCAAAGCATACCTGGGCCTGCCTAAGTGCAGGGTTGACTGGCAGGGGTCTGGCAGGGACGCTGGGTGCACGCGGAGCCCGGTGGAGGGGAGGAAGCACTCGCTGAGTTGACTGGGGCTGAGGGACATTCAGGCCGTTGAGGGGTCTGCTGATGTCAACATTCGGACACTGTGGCAATCTCCTGGGATTGTCCTGCACAGTCAAAGTAAAAAGCCATGCTAGAGAGGGTTTCAAAAATATCAGTAATTCTTTAAGGAAAATGCAGTGCCAACTCATCCGTTATAGCTGAAGGCCAAGGTGGAGTAAAGGAAATAAATCAAGGATGTACACAAGAGGGAAACTATTATTTATTTAAACTTCAAAATTCAAACAGAAGCATCACCTACCTCCATCCCGCCAAATCTGGAATAGAAGGATCGATTTTTGTTTAGATTTTTAAAAATGGTTTAACAGATAGGTGTAAAGCACTTGAATAAGTACCAAGTATAAAGACACGGACCGAGATCTTAGGGAAGTTACAAAAGAGATATGAAAATAAGACACAGCTTAATGTGTACAAGGCTCAATGAGAACTGAGAAAGCCACTGAGGAAAGGAGAGTTGTGGCTTCAGGAGGCCATGGCTGAGGTTGGGGCTTGGAGTTGGAGACGTTCTCCCACATGGTAACCCTTGTTCTTAGAACAGGTGCTGTAGGGGCTCTTAGACTTCAGGCTTCCACCCCTTCCTTCCTCTCTTTCTAAAAACAGCTTAATTGAGATATAATTGACAATGTATACAACTTGGTCATTTTTGACATGTTTACACCCATGAAACCTTCACAACAAACAAGTGGACAAATGAATGTGTCCATCACCCCAAAGAGTTTCCTCGTCATCCTTCTCCCTTCACTCTCCCTCCAATCATCAGTCTGCTTTCTGTCACTATCAGTTTGCATTTGTCAGAATTGCATATAAGTGGGATCACGGAGTATGTACTCTGGCTGTTCTTCTTTTACTCAGAATAATTATCTAGAGATTCATCCACAATGTTGTATACATCAGTGGTTCATTCCTTTGTGCAAACATACCATTGTTTGTTTATCCTTTTACTGGTTGATGGATATTTGGGTTGTTTCTAGTTTGGGGCTCTCAAAAATAAGGCTGTGCTTTTTTTTTTTTTTTTTTTTTTTTTTAAATAGAGCTGCGTTTTTCTTTTTTTAAAAAAATAAAGATGTGCTTTTGGCTACCACACAAAGCCATTCTCACTTGCGGTTCCACCTTTGGGGACGAGCAGGGGTAAAGCTTATTGGGAACGGCAGCCTCCTCCTTGGTGGCCCACCCTCTATGCTTTTTGGATCAAGGGAGTTAAAACAGTTTCTTGTCTACTGAATATGCAGCAGTGATTTTTCAATCACTTCTAATTTTTTTGACACCAATCTTGTTCACTGTTATAATTTGGACTCTTGTTGAATAAGTTCAATATGCAAGAATTCTTGTGGGTACATCAGAAAAACTTGGTGGGGAAAAACTATTAGAATGAACTCTAGCTGTAATTCACCAGGGTAGCAAGAGGGTTAAGAGACAGCAGGGAGCCATGAGGTACTCTGGGTTAAGGATCCAGTTCTCTGAAACCACAGGGTGGACAGGGCTTCCTCAGCTCAGAGGCTGGAGCAAAATGGTCAATTCTGAGAGCTCCGTGTAACTTTAAAAAATATTTTAAGAGTAACAGTGGGCTAAAGCAGCTCACCTAAAGCCAGGTGGTGGCATTTGGAAACCATGGTGGGGATGGCGTTGGGGACCGGTATCAGGAGCCAGTTTGGGCTGCAGACCCAGTAGGGCCCCAGAAATGTGGCTGCTCTGGGTGACTGGAGGGATCACAACTCACAATATGCTGCACCATATCATGCAGGGGACACTGACTGTGCCAACAGGATCTAGGTGGGCTTCCATGGGGGCACCATGGGACCTCCCCAGATCATCTCAGAGACCCTCCCTCAGAGCCTGTTGATCTGGCAATGCAGACTCAGCACTTCACAGGCAGTTCCTCTAGGATCCCATTCTTATTCAATCTTGTATTGAAAATCTCATGTCTGCGTGTGTGCCCTGAGCACTCACATCTATTCAAGACTCACCTTCGGTGGGTAGGAATCTGGAGGCTTCCTCATCAGGCCTTTTCCGAGGTGGCCGAGGTGAGCCTGACAGGGTTGGGAGCCACGGGGTGGCCGGGAAGGGCGCACACACCTGCAACAGAATCCCACACCTGCTGACCAAGCATGTTTCCCCTTCTCACTGACTTGAATTTTTACACTTTGCTCATAGTGGCACTCAAAAGATAGTTTACTTAGTGTGCTAAACATGCAAAGGAAAAATTACCTAACACTCTTAGGAGATTAAAAAATAAATACTAATTTTTTCCTCAAAACCTCTATTTTGTCAAATTAGTTCTTGCACTCCATGGAAATGCAGTGTAGTGACACCTGGAAGATGATTTGTATGAAGCTGGCATTTCAGCGATAATGTCTTTGAATATATTTGGATCAAAAGCTACCCCATCTGATGAAAATATTTCAATGTCTCCATGTTGTATAAAAACTACTAACATAAGGGTGGGAGAAAACACATCAGTGGAATTCCCTGACACCCTGCTAGCTTATGTAATAAGCAGCATATTGTTGTTTGAAGGGAAGTAAAGGAGGCAGCTGATCTGGCAGAAATTTAAAACAAGAAACCCCCCCAAAAAGAACCAAGTCCCAGGTTTATGATCCAGCAAATCTGACCTTTGCTAAAAAAAAATGAAGTGAGAAGCAGTTTGCTGTACATTTTCTGAGCCACCATTTCTTGAACAACCTAAACCCAGGGTACCTTAGTTTTTCAATGGTGGTCTTCTTATTTGTAAACAACAGTCGTATCAAGGTCTTCCTTTTGAGATAAACCACAAATCCAGCAGCAAGAAGACACAGGATGGTCACCAGAATTCCTACGGTTAAACCTTGGTTATCTGAAACAAAACACATTGGGCTCACGGAAGGAAGCAGTTACAACGAAATATGGGAGGTATCAAGTTGACATTTATGGCAAAGTGAACTCTGAAACAACAGAAATGAAGAGAGTAAACCCTTGAGTGATGTACTAATAAACTCTCTTACTTCAAAGATCATGTTTGAGGTTCAATCTATGTTACCATCATTCATTTCTGACAACTCTAGAACTTGCCAAACAGGAATATATAGTTGGGTAGTTGGGGCGATGGCCTGGACCACCCAGGCTCCCTGAGGTGTGACAATGGCACAGTGGACCATGGTAGCCACAGAAGGTAGCAGGGAGCCATCACCGAAACCTCACCGGAATCACAGCCATCCCCAGGCTCAAATGTTTCCAGCCCTCAGCACAGATTTGCCACCTCAAAGCGCCTTTCTTTACTCATTTTGGGTTCTGCTTTATCTTTTTTCATATTTTTAAAGAATGAGATGCTTTCTTGCTAGACATCTCAAAGTAGATAGTGAAAAAAGAAAACTCATTTAAATGAAGCACCCATGGGTTTTGCTTTGTTATGTTGGGGACTTACAAACACAGCCTTTGTGGGGGAAACCCTTTTTCTGGGAGGAAGCTGTTTTCTCTATGAAAACATCTTTTCTCTGACCTGCTGCCATTTTGTTTATTACAGTTAAGAGCCTCCTCAAGGGTAGGGAAAGGAAGGAAAAAAATCAAACCATCAGATTGGTTTCTTACAGCAGCTATGGGCAGAGGCTGGGAAGGACTCTAAATGCTCAGACTTAGAGGAGGTCTACTTGTGATTTCAACCGGGCTGTGAATTTTCAGAGGACAGGGATCTTGATTCATTTGTCTTCCCACCAGCAAGGATCAGGGTGTACTTCACATTAGGTAAGTGCGCAACAGTCCTTTCAGGCTGCTGGTGATCGCCGCGAAGGTGACTGCAGTTACCTGGGCTCTCCTCAGCCCTGCCTCCCACCTGGACCCTCAGCTGGCTGTGGACCACTGCAGCAGCAGCTCCTACTCCAGGGAAAGAATGTCTTTCACACCCTCTCGGTTTCTGGACCTCATCCCCCACTAACAAGGCCTATCAGGGATGTGTCTTAGCCTAAGCAAGACAGCCAACAGATGACAGTCTTGACTCACTTGTTAGTGTTACTGGAAAAGTATTGCTTCTGGTTTCCTGGCCAAAATGTCCCTCTTTTCAGAGCCTTAGCAGTGATCACAGGGGCTCTGGCTAGAGTTCTGGTGTCTCATAACAAAGCTAATTTAAAAAGTGAGCAGCAAAATTCTTGAACTATAATTTCTAGTTCCATAAAGTGAATCCATAAGTCTTCAATACATCACTCTATGAAACCGAACATTTATAGGGCCCACACATTGGACCTGCTGCATCTCCCAGGGTTGCTCAAGCCAGAGGCTCGGGCAGTGAGTGACTCCATCTCCCTCTTCCCCATGACCAGCATGAACACCGTGTCCTGTGTCTCCTCCTGTTGGCCCAGTCCACACACTAGGTCTGAGCCCAGCCCAGTCCACACACTAGGTCTGAGCCCAGCCCAGTCCACACTCTAGATCTTCACGCAGTCAGCTATCTCTGCTTCAGAAGGCACATTTCCCTCGCCCCCTTCAGACCTCAACAGATGAGGGTCCCCAGGAGCCCTCCTGACAATACCCTGCTGCTCCGTGAGGGTTGCTCCCCTCCCATGATGCCCTCTCTCCCCGCAGTCGTACCCCCCACTTATCATGCCATGTCATACTTGCTTAAAGTCTCTCCAGGACCCAGGAGAATGGCTGGCATGTGGCAGACAAATGAGTACTTGTTTAATGAGCCTCTGAGCCATGGCCAGGCCAAGGAGCAGCGAGCCATGCTTGCTCATGGCCTGCCTTGGTTCTGTCTATGTGTGCACGGGGTGGAGGCAGGGATATTTCAAACGCACTCTCTTTTATGCAATAATGGCCACAGGGGATGGAGTTAGGCTCTTCTGTTGTTTTCACTTTTTAACATTCTTATTTTTTAAATGAAGGATTGGTGACTCTGTGGGTTCCCTGGCTTTTTGCAAACCCTCAAACCTGAGTACTGCTGGTCACACATGTCTGTGCCAAAGAGCCACAGAGCTTGTCACCCTTTCTCCTGCTTTCTTCTCCAGTTTGTTTCAGTGCCATTCAGTTTGCTTGGATGGAGACGGAATGGGTGGCAGGGTCTCTGATAAATTAAAAACTAAAACCCTGCTATTTTCATATAATAAATGCGAAAAGCCATATCAGAGCATTAAGTTTCAGCCAGAGACCAGTCATCAGGGCTGTTAAGGCTGAGATGTCATTGGGGAAAGGGGACACTGGGCCCAACCCTTGCTTCTCCCCCACTGCTGTGGAGGCTCAGTGAAAGGCCAGACTTTTGAGTCCTTTTCCTACTTGCTGCAGAGCTGGGGCCTGCTAGAGTGGTAACCTGGTGCTCTCTCAGGAGTAGCATTGAAGCATGTCCACGTTTTAGCAGAAGCTCAACCAGGAACTCGCTGCCCTTCCTCGCGCTGTTTCTGCAGACGTGCCTCTGGTAGGCTGGACTTCCCCTCCTGAGCCCTGAGAACTGTGTTGTGTCTGTTGTCATGGAAACGATGGCAAAGCCACAAAGTCAATGCTGCCAGTCACCGGAGGCCTTGGGGACGCGTGACCTCCTCTGCAGCACACTAGTCACAGTCTCCCATGTCATGGGAGGGCTCAGATGAGTGTCAGTGAGGCAGAAGATACATGCTCCTGCGATCCCGCGGGCACCTGGCCCTGGCCATGCTCCCTGTTGGAGCTCTGCAGCTTCCTGCCTTGCTTCTTTCCCTCCAAAAGGGGCATCATTCAGACTTGCCCCTGAATTGCCCAATAAGAACTCAGAGAAAACAGCACCACACCAGGACACCATTTCTAAAGGTCATCTGAGGAGAAATGGCCGTGAGTTCAAGCACAGCTGCTACTAAGAGCTGCTTGGGGGACAGGCAGACCTGTGTCTAAATCTTAGCAAGATCACATTAGGCAAAATACTTAACTTCCCTGAGCCTCAGATCCTATGTATGTGAACAAAGAATCATACCACCTTCTTCAGAGTTGTATAAGGAGCGGATGACATCATGCGCATAAAATGTACCACATAGCACCTGCACACACCGTTCCATGTGCAGAAGCTGTTGCAGTGACTCCCTCTGCTGCTGTGACTGTCACCTTTACTAAGAGGTGGGTGTCTTTCCAGTAGGATTTTTAAAAGGCAGTAAACTTCACACCTTTTCACCCTACCACACAGATGCTGGCTTTTACAAAGTCCTTTGATACAGTGATGAAATTCATACCCATTCAGCAGTTCACTATAGAAATGACCTTAGCTAAGAAAAGTGTCGCAGGCTAAGGAACTGGCAAACTCAGCCACTCAGTCAAAGCAGACAGCAAGGAGCCTCGGAGATCGGGCAGGGATGAGAGGGGCATCTGGAAACTGTGGGAGACCCTAGGCTGTGCAGACCCACATGGGGTCCCCACCGGGTTTCTTGTTGGCTCTACCTGCACCCACGCTGACAGCTGGCGAGCCCACTTGCCCCCAGGTGCTCAGCCTCCTCCCGCTAGGATGCAGGGGCCTCACTGACCTGCTTGCCGGATGGGGCCGCTGTCTGTGCTTCCTCCAAAGCCAAACTTGTCACAGAAGGGAGGTGCCCAGTGGGCCTCGCAGTGGCAGTTCTTCCTGTTGTTGCACACCTTTCAGGGCAGAGGGGAGGGACGTGGGGTTAGGGCATACGCCGCTCTGTGCATCACCACAGGAGCATGGGGGCCATGGTCAGAGCCCCCCAAACAGTGACACAGCCAGACTCAGCACATGCCATGGTGCAAATGAGCCCAAACCTGGCACTACACACCACACAGGTGCGACCAGACCTGAGGCTGCAAAGACTCATCATCTGCCTATTAGTGGCTGTTAAGAGAGTGAAGAAGATTATCTGGGTTCATCAGCTTGCTTCCCCCACCCATCTCACTTCCTTCTCTATCTCCCCATCTTCCTTTTTGAATCCAGAAAACTCACTGTCTGACCACAAGGAGAAGCCCCCTCAGCAGTGAGGAGGGACCATGCTTTGCGGCTACAGACCCAAAGCCCTGGGGCACCACGGGACCTGACAGATGCTTGGCACATCCCTGTCTCCCTTAGACAGAAGGCTCAGAGAGGCTGGTGACTGCTGGGTCCCACACCAGGCAGGGGTCCGAGGCAGGCCCCCCATTTCCTGAGCCTAGCAGGGTGCATGGGATTTCCACTAATACTTCCTGAAGCCTGTCCCCTGCAATGCCCGCCTCCTTCTTACGGAGTTTCCCAGTGGCTGTTTCCTGACTCCCAGCCATACACCAGGGTGTGAATCCAACAGTGGATTCTTTTCCTTGTGAAATAAGAGAATGGTTCTGGCATGGCAAGAAAGGGAGACCAAGAAAGCCCGAGGAGGCTGTGCTTCGCCCTTGGTGGGCCCAGCTTATAGACCAGAGCATTCCATGGAGGGGCCAGGAGCCCCTGCCCACCTGGTTACCAAGGGCTACCAATGGTGGCCACTCCCAAGCCTGTCCATGCTGGTTGGACTCGTTATTGTGCCAGATGTAACTAACTGAAAGTACATGATCCAATGGAATATTACCATGAAGATGATATATATTTAATATTTTTCTATGAAAATTAGGTTGTCAAGTCCAGTCATGGTGACTCATGCCTGTAATCCCAGCAAGTGGGAGGCTGAGGTGGGTAGATCACTTGAGGCCAGGAGTTCGAGACCAGCCTCGCCAACATGGTGAAATCCTGTCTTTATAAAGAAAAAAAAAAGTTAAAAAAAATATTAGGTTGAATCCTTAGGGAACACTGGATTAAAAAAGACAAATCACTAAAAGAATTTCTGAAAAATTAGGAATGAGACAACTGCACAATGGTTGGGAAGAGCAGCAGGGGACAAGCAGGAGGCTGTTCTTGGATGCTGTTGAGTGTCTAAGGTCCCCCTCCACTTAAAGAAACGAACTAGAAGTTGTTGATGATGCATTTTTGGGTGGTTTATATCAGGAAGTCAATGCACAATGACATTCAGTAAATCAATCCTAAAGGCCTCAGCTCTCTGTCAAAATATGGCTGCCAGATATTTATTTCAAGGCAAAATAAAATGTGTGGAGTATACATCTCCTATGTAATGCTTCCCTGCCTCAACCAACTTGTTTTGATGAATCAACCACCTACCCCCATTGCTTCAGATAAGAAGGCCGACTGTCAGGATGGGCTTTAGTAAGTTAGAAAGTAGACTGCTATAAAGCAGAAATTGAGTAGAATTAGTTGGCATGTGGCAGAGCCTATGCCAAATATAAGTGTCTTGCCTGTTCCCTCAAAGATGCTGCTGCGGACATACTAGCCTGAGATTCATGCCTGCCCCTCATGGCTTCTCTCAGCAACTCATGGTCATGCACCTTGTTTTAAAACCCACGTGAAGGTGCTGCCGGGAGCCTGCTCTTGTTAGGGTGGGACTGTGGCCAAGCTACCCTTCAGCAAGGCATGGCCAGCTGCTCCACCTACCCAGAAAATGTGGACCTCTCCTCTCCCATGTGTGAATGAGGCCCAGGGGTATTGGAAAGGGAGTGGTCCAGGGTCCTCAACCAGTTTGCGGCTTGCCAGCCATATTACCTTGGGCACACCATCCCCCCAGCTCAGGGCTTGGCTTCTTCAGTAAAATAATAGGACTGGACTTGATCATCTCTTAACAGCCATCAGAAAATAATCTATGATGCAATGAAGACATAAGAAGATTCCATTCTATACTGGGAGTTAGCTAATCTTACTGTCAACACACCCATCTGAGGTGACACTGTGGTCTTTATGGTTCCGGCACAATGGTAATTTACAACCCCCTCCCCCCTGCACCCCGTAATTCTGTGTAAGAATCATTGGCAAGTGTCTACAAGTTTTAAAATAAAGAATTTGGAGCCTGATTTCTGTAGAAAAGTTTCAGGAAAACAAATGAACCTCTGGTGTGGTTAATCAAGACTAATATGATTCCATTGGAAAGAATTAAGCCCATCAAGAAAAATAAATTATGTTTGAAGCAATTAGAGTTCTCTTCTACCCTAAAGGCTCTCTGAGCTAAAATAACAGCCTCCTTTAGTTGAAACCCGTTGTGTGTGATTTCAAGAACATGTGTTTAATATGATCTGTTTTCCTTGTTTTAATTCCTTTTGGAAGTATTTCAGTTCAGACACTGGTTCTGAATGTTGGTAGAAGAAGAACAGCGCAGTTTGAAATGTTAATGTGAAACTCTTCACGAAGGAAGGCTGGTTTTCAAATTCCTTTGAACAACAAAAATCTTTTTTTAAATCATAGAATGTTAATTCAAAAGGTAATTATGGCTCAATCTGATTTTCTTTGTTAAATAAAAGTCACAATGAAAAGGTCAAAGGAAATGAATGTCTTTAAAAAAAAATATTGCAAAGACACTAACTGCTCTATTTAAAAAATGCTATGGATTGTGAAACCTTTTACAAAGGAATGATTACTTGTTATGGGCTGGCTACTCACCCCCCTGCCGTGGCACTGCACTGTACACTCATGAACCCCAAAGACACTAATGTTTTGACATCGACGATTCAGGCAGATCTGTAGGAGGAGGAAAACACAGCAAATATCTTAGTATTTCTCCAGCCCCCCTCCCCCGCCCCCAGCATACACACATACGTGTATTCAAACAAAAAGCAAGCAAAAGAAAGCTTGGAGAAGACCCAACCTTGTCTCAGTGAATACGGATGTAGCAAAACAATACATTTTACACTGGACTCAGGCACGGATTTTATTGCTGACTCCTCCAAACTCAGCACATTTTGAGACTAAGTTCAATGTGAACACTATGAAATTATTTTGCACTTTATGGCTTTTAATATAACTTTCAGTTGATCCTACAATTATAACTGATTTTCTTATGAGTTTTGTTTGGAGCTTGTAATGAAATCTATGTATTGCAGCATTTTTTTCTTCCATTAAAAGATACAGGAGAGGGCGAGGCTGGGCACGGTGGCTCATGCCTGTAATCCCAGCACTTTGGGAGGCCGAGGCAGGCAGATCACGAGGTCAGGAGATCGAGACTCTCCTGGAAAACATGGTGAAACACCATCTCTACTGAAAACACAAAAATTAGCTGGGCGTGGTGGCATGTGCCTGTAATTCCAGCTTCTCAGGAGGCTGAGGCAGGAGAATCGCTTGAACCGGGGAGCTGGAGGTTGCAGTGAGCCAAGATCGTGCTACTGCACTCCAGTCTGGTGACAGAGAGAGATTCCGTCTCCAAAAGAAAAAAAAAAAAATGTAGGAGAGGGCGAGACAAATTACTCCTTATCCTAGGGCCTGGATACACATAGACAGAGACTCCAAAAATCCAGGGTTGAAGAGTGGTTTTAAGGGAGAGATTGAAATATGGGAACCTTTTCCAGATACTGACTGACAAGTAACATCATCAATGACAGAAACCATCAGTAATGAGGCTCAGCAGTGGAAAGTGGAAAACAGACTGCTCCTTGAATTTATCAAGCTGTTGTAGTGGCAAGCATTTGCTAAATGATACTATGCCAGCTGAAAGAGTTCAGCCTCATTTCAAAGGTGCATAATATACTCCAGACTCAAGGGTTGCAGCCCTTTATCTCCTATAAGATTTTACAAATCAGTGGAGTCAAATGAAGAAGAATCTAATGTTCAAATGGCAGAATAATTTTTAATCAAGTAGAACCTTCCTATGGAGGAGGTCACCATCCGACCCCAACAGGTCATATAAGGCAAGAGGCATACCCTTTGGGAGAAGTGCTGGCCCAAGCAGCACTGAGGGGATTCCCACTCTGTGGGTACGAATTCTGGCCAAGGGAATGGTCACATTCCAGCTGATAAAAGAACCTGTCCCGGATTACAGTGAACACAGCAGGACCCTCATGAGAATCACTGCTGATCCCTGAGCCATCAGAGAACCAAGGTTCTGAGATCAAAGCACATTTCATCTTGAACATGGAAAACAAATTTGATGATAAATTGAGCCCTTGGAATTGGAATGTCCAGATGCACCCGGCCCTGGCTGTTCAGGCTACAGTTTTAAAAAAAAGGTGTCAGTCAGATGGCTGTTATTAAAAAGTCAAAAAAAACAACATATGCTGGCGAGGCTGTGGAGAAAAAGGAACACTTATATACTGCTGGCGGAGTGTAAATTAGTTGAACCACTGTGGAAAACAGTGTCGTGATTCCTCAGAGACCTAAAAGCAGAAATTACCATTTGACCCAGCCAACCCATTACTGGGTAATACCCAAAGAAATAGAAATCATTCTATCATAAAGACACATGCACTCATATGTTCATTGCAGCACTATTCACAATAGCAAAGACATGGACTCAACCTAAATGTCCATCAATGATAGAATGGATAAAGAAAATATGGTACATATACTCCATGGAATACTATGCAGCCATAAAAAAGAATGAGATCATGTCCTTTGCAGGAACATGGATGGAGCTGGAGGCTATCTTCCTAAGCAAATTAATTCAGGAACAGAAAACCAACTACCACATGTTCTCACTTATAAGTAGGAGCTAAATGATGAGAACATATAGACACATAGAGGGGAACACCACGCACTGGGCCTAATCAGAGAGTAGAGGGTGAATGAGGGAGATGATCAGGAAAAATAACTAATGGTTACTAGGCTTAGTATCTGGGTGATGAAATAATCTGTACCACAAGCCCCCATGACACAAGTTTACCTATATAACAAACCTGCACGTGTACCCCTAAATCTAAAAGTTGAAAGACAAAATACGATTTGAGCCTAAAAAAATCAGATGTCATTTTAATGTCAAGGCTTGAATACGAACAAATGTAGGTAAGGAGACATTCAGAATGTATGAGAAGATTCACATGCTATCCTGTTTCTCAAGGAAAAAGCATTTGTGGCTCAGGGTATGTGGGGGCAAAGACAGGAGAGTGGAGGCAACACTTGTCCTCAGGATTCTGTCTCTGCCTCTGTCTTTTCTTCCCTGTGTGACCTCATGTTAGTGAGTGATTTCAAGATCCTGTTGAATATGGAGTCTAAAAAGCATGTGGGGGTTCATCCTTTTCCTAAAACATTGTATTAGCTTGCTGTCATTTAGTCTGATGAGAAAGTTTGGTGAAAAAAAAATCAGTATGGCAGAGCATGAAAATTTCAAATTCTTTTTTCAAAAAAAAAAAAAAAAAAAAAAGCTTCACTTTATTTCTAAACCTCAAAATATCTCCATGTATCTTTCTCCCTGTTCTCTGAAAGGACTCCCTTCTGGTTTTGAGTTTTTCCCACTGCTTTCCCTCTCCTATTCTTCTCTCTACAGGGTCTGTAAAAATACATCTGATTTCCCTTTCTGTCCAGGTGAGGACAAGTCCCCAAGAACTCTGTGCTAAAAACCAAGCCACATATCCAAAACCAATAGCATATGCGATTGTATTTCTTTCCAAAGTAATTTTCTGGCTAGAAGTCCTCATGCCACCTAGAGTGTAGAAATGACTTATTAACACTCCAGGCCTAAGAAGACAGGCTTCATTGTCCCCATTCTGCATTTTCATAGTCAGACCAGGATCTAGGATTTATTGACTTTTTCTTCTAGGTGCATCTGAGAAGAAGTAGATTTAAGAAAACAAACAAACGCTGTAACCCAGTTCTTGCACAGGCCGTTTTTCAGTGGGCCCCATTCCAGACTTACATTTATGATCCAAGCAAACATTTGGGCCTTACTTTTCCATCTGCACACTTTGTGCCTGCAAGCACAAGCCCAGGGTCCGGCATGTCATCGCCCAAGTACACGTGGGTCCCCCGGCACAGAATCCGGCCTCCTTCCTGCAGGGGGATGTTTGTTTCTATGGAAACAGCATTGGTACCAATGACTGGCCGGCTGGCACCTCCTTGACACTGGATTTTTCCACATTTAGCATCTCTGGAAGGGTAAGAACAAACAATTCCCAAAGAGAAACCGTTTGGAACCAACCCTATGCAATGTGGGAAGGTCAGAGCAAAGACTTTGCCAGGATGTCTGGATTCCATACCTCATCTCGCATTTGGCAAAGGAACTCTTTGAGACTTTGCCACAGTTGCCATAAGGATCACCTGCAGAATTGACTCTCTCAAAGCAGATCCCAGGGGCAGGTTTAGCACCTGAAACAGAAGCAGAACTGCATTTTCATCTCCTGCAGGTGTTTTTAATGTTTTTGTTTGTTTGTTTTGTTTTGTTTTTTTGCATGGCTCTAGGCCTCTCAAATGGTTAAGGGGAGACATGTTCGAAGCAATCACACCCAGGGTCTGCCCTGACTCATGGTGGGAGCTGGCCAGGGGAAGCCAAGGGTGTCAACAGCTCACATCCTCTCTTGACTCAGCACACGGCAAAGCATATGTTTCAACGCTTACTCTTCCTTAGGTCTGCTCTCTGGGCTCATGGCATGTGTGGCCTCTCAGGAAATGAGGCCTGGCTGTGGGATGAGATCCAATCCAGGGCAAAAAGGAGGTGGCTGGCTGGCTGGCTGCAGAGAAGGGGAAGCTTGCCCTCTTTAACAACATCCCACACAATTCCGGTGAGAAAATGCAAGCCAGGGCAGGCTCCAAAGGAGCAACGAAGATATCTTCTGCAATAATTTTAGTCCCACAAAGCTCCCTGTAAGAGCAAGTCCTACCTTCTATTAATACCTTCTATTTTATTTGCAAGGCAGAGATTTCTCTCAGAGGCCATGGAGTCACAAACCCTGGTAATCCCTAGGTACAGCATGACGGGTCCCAGCAGAGAGGGTCATGGCAACCAGAGAGCTCAGAAATGGCCATTTTTAGCACATCTTCCAGCCATGGAAAGAGAGCACATATAATCAGGGTTTGTAGCCAAAGCTCTGGAGGACTCCTGGGCAGAGTGATGTCTGTTGAAGACTATTGAGCAAGTCAAGAAAACATGTCACATTCTTCAGAACAAACCATGCCCTGCGATGCGGTCCTTTTTCTCTCTCTCATTGGTGTCCTGTTCGGGCACTTTATCTCACGTTGCTTCTGATAGCCAGGACGCTGGCACTCCAGAGCCCCACTCTGCCCCCTACCCCGGGGAGACTTTATTTGCCTTCCAAGGTGACAACGGATTTATTTAAGATACCTCCTCCCAGGGAACAGAAGATGTTCTTATTACTGAAAACATCCCCCTTCTTTAGCCTGCACCTGATACCTCATCAGCTACTAGCAGACATGATCATCTCATTAAACACACACACGCCACACCACCTTGGCACCATTTGAAGTGAGCAGTGTGCTGAGCGCTCAGCCTCTGCAATGAGCCAGCCTTACACCTCTCCTTTTCCGCTTCTTTTATAAATCACGTTAGAGAAACCTCCGCAACCTCCTTTTTCAGGGGCACTAGCCCAGACTGGACACAGTTCTCTGTCATGGAAAAAGATGAGGTTCCTAGCTCCTCCCATCGCATTCCCTTTCCTTCCACCTGATCCACATCTGCCTTGCCCACAGCAGGATGACACCACCGACACACTCAGCCCACAGCAGGATGACACCCCTGACACAGCCCACAGCAGGATGACACCACCGACATACTCAGCTCACAGTAGGACGACACCACCGACACACTCAGCTCACAGTAGGATGACACCACCGACACACTCAGCTCACAGTAGGATGACACCACCGACACACTCAGCTCCTGTCTAGTAGGGACCTGATTTGTTCGCATTCTGCCCTCTTTTTCTCTTTCATCTCTCTGTCGGAGCAGGGAAGGATGGGGAAGGCGAGCCTCAGTGTGGAACCTGCACTTTGTACTTAATTTCATCCTGTTTGGCGGCACTTTTGATCAAAGTACTTGGATCTGATTGATCAAAGCAGTTTGGAAAAACTGGCATCTAGAATAGTAACAATGCAACAGTTGTTTGTGTGTTTTTGCACACACCCTATGTATTTGTTACTTGCCTAACTCTATCTCCTTCCCATCCATCCTTCTTTCCCTCTTCCTTCCTCCTTCCTTCCCTTCCTACGTCCTTCCATCATCCATTTATCTACCCATCTATCCATTCATCCATCCATCCACCCGTCCAGCCAGCCAGCCAGCCAGCCAGCCATCATGTTGCAGGCTTCAATCAGACACACATATTTATTCAGCACCTACTATCTTCCAGACATTGCTAGTATAACAGGGACCAAACTGGACAAACCTCCTGCTTACTTGAAAATTGCAAGGAGAAACAGAAAGAAAACAAATGATTATGTTCCGCTAAAGTCCAGGGTTAGGGAATGCTATGAAGGTAGAAACAGAGTAGGAGGGTTCGGGGGACTGTTGCTTTTAAAGGCAGGCTGGTCAGAGAAGTCCTCTTAGAGAAGACATCATGAGCCGAATCCACCATTTAATCCTACAAGGTAGGTCTCATTATTCCATTTTATGGACAAGAAAATGAGGACATCAGAGGTTAAATATATTGCTTAGATTCACATAGGTATTGAAGGCAGAATCATCTAAGGGTGAAGCCGGGCTTCTGTGCTGTTCCCTCCTGTGCTCCATCCTCACAGGTGCTGGACCCTGCACTGGGTCTCAGGCATAGAGAGCAGATTAAGACCTGGTCCTGCAGCCCAAGCAACAGCAGGTTCAGTGGCTGTGGGGTGTGCTGCAGCTGCTCATGGAAGCGCTAATAAAATGGGGCAGGAAATGGCTTTGTTGCTTCTTTCCCTACTTCATAAGACCAGGACTCGGAAATACAAGCAGCTCCTAGTGATTGCTTAGCTCCTAGGAAATGGGTGGGTGGAGTTGACATCACTGTGCCATTGCACACAATGCTATTCGGATGTCCTAGTTTCTGCTACCTTTATTATAAAGTAATTTCTTTCCTGGGAATTGTGACCACTTAAAGAATACATATACCATGGTGCAATTCAAATGTGCCAGTTGATAAATTTGTTTTCCTTATAGGGAGCTCTAAAAAGACTTTGAGCAGTTTTAGACAAGTGAGCTCACAAACAGCTCAACGGCAGCCTGGGAGGAGAGTTAGATGAGGTTGGACTGAGGAGTACAGAAGGATAAACACAGAGAGAGGAAGGGGGAGAGAGAAAGGATGAGCGAGATCAACATCAACAGGGACTGAAGACACTGCAAATGTACCGGCGAAGCAAAGGGGAAGCTTCATACACGAATACCAGATAAAGGGCTATCGTTAAGATAGGAAGTCAAGCAAAGGCATGGAAACAGTGTATAATCAAGTATAAAAGCATTCTGGAAGTGAAAACACTGAATCTCTACTTGGGCATCCAAAGCCGAAACACACTGAGCCTTCTGGGTCAGAGTGTGACGTGGTTTGGATCTGTGTCCCCACCAAGTCTCATGGAGAATTATAATTCCCAGTGTTGGAGGTAGAGCCTGGTAGGAGGTGACTGGATCACGGGAGCAGTTTCTCCTGAATGGTTTAGCGTCATCCCCTTGGTGCTGTTCTTGGGATAGCGAGTGAGTCATTGAGATCTGGTTGTTTAAAAGTGTGTGGCACCTCCCTCTTCCTTCTCTCTCGGAAGGCAGCTATGCTCACCACTATACCACCAACGCTTTTCTTTCTCTCTCTTGCTTCCACTCTGGCGTGTGATGTGCCTGCTTCCCCTTCACCTTCTGCCACGATGGTAAGCTTTCTGAGGCCTCCCCAGAAGCAGAAGCCACTCTGCTTCCTATAAAGCCTGCAGAACCAAGAACCAATTAAACCTCTTTTCTTTATAAATTACGCAGTCTCAGGTATTTATTTATTTATAGCAGTGTGAGAACAGACTAATAAAGGGTGTGCTTATGATTTTAATGCCCCAAATGCTGGTGGAGCAGCACAGCTCAGAAAACCAGGTGTGTGTAAGATGCAATGCCTTGTTTACCAGTAACGCAGAAGCATGGTACACGCCCCAGCAGAGAGCCACCTGGCATTTCAGGAGCGCCGCCATTCTCCCAAAGACAAACCCTCAGAAAGGCTTATGGCCAATTTGAATATGTGAATTTTACAAACACAGATGACACAGTCAAACATCATCTTCTAATATGCTGTCAATTAACAATAATGAGAAACAAAGAATCACATTTTAATTTAGATTGTCTTATAACAACTCTCCCACACTGTGGAACAATTTTACTGAGATTACGTTTCCTTTGGTCTCAGTCTTTTTATTTTTATTTATTTATTTAGAGACAGAGTTTCGCTCTTGTTGCCCAGGATGGAGTGCAATGGTGCGATCTCAGCTCACTGCAACCTCTGCCTCCCGGGTTCAAGTGATTCTCCTGCCTCAGCCTCTCATTTAGCTGGAATTACAGGTGCCCGCCACCACGCCGACTAATATTTTGTATTTTTAGTAGAGATGGGGTTTCACCATGTTGGCCAAGGTGGTCTCGAACTCCTGACCTTGGGTGATCCACCTGCCTCAGCCTCCCAAAGTGCTGGGATTACAGTCGTGAGCCACCATGCCCGGCCTGATCTCAGTCTTCTTGTTTTCCATGGCACATTCCCTGCACTTCCAGCTTTCTCAGGATGCTGACATTTTTTCTTCTGTTATCACTGGAAGTCTTGTTTCTAGGTTCGAGTACCCATTCTTCCAACAGTGAGCACTTTCTCTGTTAGCCCAGTGGGTGTATATTCATGACCTCCACAACTAAACCACCCACTCTATTGCTTATCAAAGTGAACCCTTAAAAGCTCTCTTACCAGAATAACCAAAATGGGATGAAGTCACAGCCGAAGAATAATATTTAAGCATGTGATAGATGCTTTTTTTAAACCTGATTTTGTCAGGCAGCCTTGATGAACCTGCGTGGATGCAGGATGATGAGTGCCAAAGCTCCTTCCCACCTGCTCTGTGATATCCAAAAGGTGTGGCTGAGAGAGTGACAGGTCAGTGGTCAGTGATTCTTTTTGCTGGGTACTTTCAGGGGGAAGCCTTGTTTTATAGCTGGGCATGTATGGGATCTAAGAAAAATGTAGAATGCCTCTCAGTCTTCAGGCTTTTTAGAATGCCCCCTCCTGTCTGATTGATAAACTCAGTGACCACGCTTCAGAGTGGGAAGAACAAAGGCTTGGAACTCGGGCTGATCTGGCATTCAATGTCCAAAAGGCCTTGTTGTACAAGCTCTCGAGGCTCTGTCCCCTCATCTGTAAAATGGGGACAAGGAC